CCGCTCAAAACTGTGACTGCCACTCCGACCTCCCAGCCCACAACAATGGTGGTAGTTGCGTCAGGGGCATTCCCCACCCTTTTGTGATGTGTAGGTGCGTGGCACGGAATGCACATCACCACATCTGATTGGGCCAGAAGGAGGGGTGGCAGTCACAGTTTTAAGTGGTCTTAGGCGAACTCAGGAAAGCTGGGTTCCCACCTAGCCCAGGCTCTTCACTAGTGCTAACTAACGCATCTATGCAGATTCACATTTAAAAACAACAAATGTTTTTTTGTTTTTTTAACAGACACAGCATAAATGGTTTTAGGATTATGGAACTGATAAGTTACATAGTTACATAGTATTTGAGGTGGAATAAAGACATTAGTCTATCATGTCCAACCTATTAGGATCTCATTTCTAGGAGTACCTGTACCCCTGTATATTACGATCCTTTAAGAAATCGTCCAAAAGTTTCTTGAACAATTCCACATTATTTGCTGAAATCACCGCCTTCTCCATTTCTGACTTCCCTAGCGGCATACCCATAATTGTATAACCCGTTTGTTTACTTTTAATTCCAAAGTGCATTACTTTGCATTTATCGACATTAAACTTCATCTGCCACATTAATGCCTACTCCCCTATTTTATCCAGGTCCTCCTGTAATGTTATAATGTCGAAGTCCGTGTCCATTACCCTCCTAATTTTGGTTTCATCCGCAAACACGGAAATATCGCTGTTAACACCCTCCCCGATGTCAGTAATAAATAAGTTGAACAATATGGGACCCAGCACAGAACCCTGAGGCACACCGCTCATTACACTAGCCCACTCTGAAAAGGTGCCATTTACAGATACCCTCTGGACCCGTTCCCGTAGCCAGTTCTCTATCCACGTACACACCACCTCATCTATGCCCATAGCTCTCAGCTTGTGTAGCAAGCGTTTGTGTTGTACCGTATCAAAAGCCTTTGAGAAATCCAGATATACCACATCTACCTGCTTACCTCCGTCCATATCTCTACTTACCCCCTCATAAAAAGTTAGCATGTTAGTTAGGCAGGAACGATCTTTCCTGAACCCATGCAGATATTGATTAACTATCCCGTTATCCTGAACAAATTCTACCAGATAATCCTTTAGTATGCCCTCTAGCATTTTACAAACTACCGATGTTAGACTGACCGGCCTATAGTTCCCAGGTTGGCACCTAGCTATTGGGCGTCTCTAGAGACGCCTGACCGCTTGTATGTAAACAGCCATCGCTGGCTGTTTACATGCTGACGGTTTTCCCTCTCGTGTGCGGCGCTCAGCGTGGACACGAGAGGGGGGAGGGACAGGATGTCTTAAGACGCCCTCCCGCTCTGAGCAGACGCCCATCTGGCCGTTCACAAACGGCCATGGACGTAAGGTGGTTAAGATGCAGCCCGTCTCGGCTGAAGAGCCGATAGCCGACTGCGAAGTCAGCCCAGTTCTCCAGGAAACCAAAACCTTCCTTCTGACACCAGCTCCGGAGCCACTTGTTAAGCTCCCTCAACTCGCGCTGTCTGTCCGGAGTGGCTCTTGGCACCGGCAGTATCTCTGAGAAAACTACCGTGGAGGTCCTTTCCTTCATCCTAGCACCTAGGTCTCTGAACTCCTGTTTTAGGACACTCCAATTTCCTCCTATTTTGTCATTGGTGCCGATGTGCACCATGACAACGGGGTCGTGCCCAACCCCATCTAGTAATCTGTCAATTCGTTCCGCAATGTGTCGAACACGAGCCCCCGGCAGGCAGCACACTGTTCGACGCTCACGGTTCCGATGACAGATTACCCTGTCAGTCCGCCCGATGATGGAGTCTCCCACCACCAGGATCTGCCTCTCCTGACCCTCCATCCTGCTCCCGTCCTCGCCGGTGCACTGCACTCACTCATATAGGATGAGGATGAGCCGTGCTCAACCTATGAACTCTGCCCTGAACAGTAAGTAGCTTGGGCTTGGAGTGAACCGTGTTCCCCTGAGTTCACCCAAGCCCACTTAAAACTTTTCCCTTCTCCTTTGTAATGTGTAGTTGTAGGTCAGGGAATAAACCTGCTGCCACTGATTGGGCTGGAAAGATGTTGTGTTGGTCATAGTTTCGAGCAGGCTTGGGCAAATTAGGCCGCACTGAGCTCACACCAAGCCTAAGATCATTACTAGCCCTGAATAGTGGCAGAAATTGTTTGTGCCACTAGGATTTTAAGTTATGACCTCCGACAAGAAAGCCTTCAGTACTCCGATCAAAGGGAAATAGATATTTAAAAAACAATATCACGCTCATGTGGAGAGCATCAGCACATCAAAGTGCATAGGAATTTGCTTTTCGCATAATTGGAAAATTGAAGATTCTGAACTTTTTGAGTGAATATTCACAACTCAAGTAGTAAATTGAGCCTCATTATCTCTAAAATGTGTAAATTCTGCCTATTTCATTCCTATGCCCTGATTATTATCTATACAGTATATCCTACAGGTTTAAAATGGCTTGCATATACAGTATAACAAATGTAAAGCTAAAATATATTTTTAACATTTTGGATTTTTGGATAGAGTAGGGAATGGTTAAGACCCCTTTTTTTTCGGTTTGTGTCCAGATGGGGAAATTTCACTTCAATTATTTTCCAAGAGACCCAATTATGACTAAAACAGATTAAACCATCTGTCACAGCCCGCTAGTAGTTAATAGTAGGTGAATAGGATCTCAACTGCGGATGCTAAGGAACTCGATAAAGGACTCTGTACGGCGCTCAGTCACGAACCCTAGGCGTCGCTCTCAATCATAGGCGGAGAGTTTGGGGTTCTAGCATCATGAGCCGTAACAGGAGGGAAATGAGAATTGGTATGCAGACGGAGTAATCAGGACCTAACCCTGGATGGAATTACCAAGGGTCTTAAGGTGAGGTTGCTTGCACCCTGCTGTACAGAGGTAGAGATTGGCCAACAGTTATAAGTGGAACGTTTCCCAGTACTTATAGGTATAGGTGGTCCCGAGGTACAGACGTGCACATATACTTATATGAGATAGTTGGTAGGCAGTCCAGTGCTATACACATACACTTGTTACTGATGGAAACCCCTAGGCAGTTCATACAAGTGAAAACCCCTATAGGCTTAAGGTACTTGCGCTTAGGTGCAGAGCAGTAGTGACAAGGGTCACTTCTTCCAGCAGTAGGGTAGTCCTCCTTTAGATCCTGGCGAGACAGTCTCCTTGCAGAACGAGGTTCCAGGGTGTTTGGGCATCAGAAACCCAATAGTGAACACCCTGCATCGTTCGGTTGGAGTTTAAATAGGCCGCGGCCGTGACGTCACGCGGCCGCGGCGCACTTCCGCGTTCCAGCGTGGAGCGCACCCTACGTTCCCAGAAGTAGGAGGGAGCGCTCTGCGGCTTCTCCCGCGGCTGCGTTCCACGCTGGCACGCACACGTGACGCGGCCCGGCCAGGAGGAACGTCACACCATCATACACACCCGAGTGATTTGTTGCATGTACCTTAAAGAGCAACAATGCTCAGCATGAAGATTTCTATTTTATTTAATAGTGTCTGGGGTGCCATTCATGGATTTATGCATGTAGCAATGTGAATGGGGCATAAGGGTTTGTTCACACCATGTACAGATTAATCTGTACAGATCAACGCAGGGTCACCTAATTTATTTATTTTTATTTTCTATGTGTCCTGTTCACGCCACAAAGCACGTAGAAAACAAGACACAAACAAACCACAGACATGCTACATTTGTTCGTACTGCATCTCACTTCGCATCAATGCATATCACCACTCTGCTGTGCTGTACACAGATGGATGGTATGTTATCTGTGACATTTCAATAAAGTTAAAGAAAATAAGGCAAACAGTGCCTGTAGCACAGCCCGTATACAATTTTAGCGTACTGGCTGGAATGAACGAGACCTAAACATTTGGACTTAGTATCACTTTCTGCAGTGGAGAGATGGTCATCGGAACCAAAAGCGAGAGTATGGGGTCTATTCACGAAGCTGCCGAAGGATCTGGCCGTAGCTTCGTTCGATCCTTCGGCTAGCTTCGGCCCCAGGACCCCTTCGGTTCAGTAGAACCAAAAAGGGGGGGTTTTCGGGCTATTCACAATAGCCCGTACAGCTCCCGATCATGGCCGAGCGGTTCAGCCGAGCCGAACGCACATGCATCGGCTCGGCTGAGCCGTGCTGAAAGCCGAAGCTGGCCGAGCTGGACAGCCTGCTTCAACAAGCTGGGCGGAGCCAGCCGTGATCTTACGGCTGGCTCCGGCCACTTGCAGTGAGATCAGCGTCCCTGGTTACCTGCTCACCAGGGACACTGATCTCCAAACAGCTAACTCTCCCTGGCGCCCCGGGAGTCTCCTGCTCCCGGCCGCCAAGTAGAGAAACACTGCTGTGTCCTTTTTTTTTTCTTTATTCTGACACGATCGATGTCAAAATAGAAAAATAAATAAATAAATAATTTTTCCCATCGAAAAGCATTGGGACATTACTATTGGCTATTTCAGTTTGCAAAAGCCAATAGTAAACTAGCATTGTACCCGCCCTCTGCTGCAGTTCCCCATCAGGTCCATCAGCAGAGGGCGGGTACAATGCTAGTTTACTATTGGCTATTGCAAATTGAAATAGCCAATAGTAATGTCCCAATGCTTTTCAATTTGAAATGGTATTTTTTTTTTCCTCTATTCTGACATCGCTCGTGCCAGAATGAAGAAAAAAAGACACAGCTGTGTTTCTCTCCTTGGCGGCCAGGAGCGGGAAGCTCCAAGAGCGCCTGGGAGAGTTTTTTTTTTCGTTTTTTTTTTTAGCTCCGCACAATCGTTTAATATTTACTTCGGCGGCATTCGGCTATTTACTCACTGCTGTTCGGGATCTTTAAGAATAGCCCGAACAGCAGTGAGTAGCCTGCCGGAGGTTCGGCTCAGCCGATCCAGATGTTGGATCGGCTGAGTCGAACTCCTTCTGCACATGAAGCAAGCCGATGTACGGCTGCTTCGTGAATAGACCCCTATATCTCTCCAATGGTGACATAGGCAGCAATAAGGACCATACAGAAATGTTAACCCTTTCACATCCAAAAAAAAGAAACAGGTTTTGGCTTATATACTCTATTATTTAGACAATAAAAAGTACAGGTGAAACTCGAATAATTAGAATATCGTGCAAAAAAATGAATAAATATTATAATTTTTTTTAAAACATGATAGGCTATTATGGGAGTGATCTTGGAGTGGTGGCTACTTTACAACACACACAGGAACTATGTAGAACAAAAGTAGCCATCCTCTAGAAAGAAGGACAGTGTCAGCATAATTTCAGAGATGATTTGAGCATATACTGTATGATTTACTTTATTTAACCCAAACTGCCAGATTATCGTAAATTATGTTATCCATACACAGTAATATTTCAAAATTCTTGCAGCTATGTATAGTTTGTAATATTATGTATATGTATGTGGGGGGGAGCCATAGCTGTGCTTTCCTTTCCATTGTAAAAACACAATGATAACACAATAAAAATAATCAACCAGGGTTCTAAATCCTCACAAGTCTTTTCTTAATATATAAAAAAAAAAATGTTTCGGCATACACTTTAATCATAGTTATTTTCAATATATTTTCATGATAACAAAATATTCTTATTTTAATCTGGCATTTTCTAGTTTTAAAGCCCAAAGAAAGTTGGAGCTGCAGTGCCTGGGGTAACTTCCACTTTAAGACATTCGATGGAGAAATCTATCGTTTTCCGGGAGAATGTAACTACGTGTTTGCTTCTCATTGTCGAAGTCACTATGAAGACTTCAATATACAGATTCAACAATCACTGGTCAATAATCGAACCACCATCTCTCAAGTATCTTTGAACCTAAATGAATTGCTAATAGAAATCATTGATCATGTTCCCATAGTCCATGGACAACGGTAAATATGATTATCATTTGCTGCAATAAACTTCTGTGTGGTAGAGTACTGTAAATATACATAATCATCAACTTTTAAAAAATGCAGTAAAAAGCACAAAAAAATCAAGTGTTTTAATTGTTTGCTTGCAGTGTTTTTTTCTTTCCATGAATAACTTTTTATTTATTTCAATGTGCTTTAAAACTTTCTGGAAAATGTAACTACTCCAGGAAAGCCACTTCCCTAGCACAACCCCCTTTCTTACTTGAAATTTATAGCCCTTTCCTCTTCTGGGGGTGTCTCTTTGCTGGCCCAGCTTCTCTGCCCCTCCCCTCACCTTCCTACATAAACTTTTATGTAGTTGTTAGGGGAGAAGTAATACAGTGTGTCCCTTGAGTGGAAGCCCCTTATCTCCTGGTGTAAGTGACATCACATCCAAGATGGCATTACCCAGCAGTACTCTGAGGGCTTTTGGAATTCTACACAAGGGAGGCTTTTACAAGTAAACAGCATATATGAAATTTTAAAGCCCCATTACAGGATAATTTTCACCGGCCCTTGTAAAAAAAGTTATACAGAAGCCTCCCTTTAGATCGCTCACTGGTGCAGGTGTGGGGGACCGCTGAGCCATTACTGCAGAGAGTCTCCCACCAGCAAGTCCCCTGCCATCCCTTTGCAATCACATCACTCCTCTTCTGGATCCTGAGAATACACTGCTGCTGGACAGCCAATAGGAAGTGTCCATGCCATGCAGGCAGTAATGCGGACACTCAAAGAATGTGAACAAAGGAAGAGACGATTTGGTAATGGAGGGTCAAGTGACTGCAGCTTTTGGTCAATAAAACATGCATTTACATTACCTTTTTAAGTTTTACGTTATATTTACGTGTTGTTGTTTTTTTTTTACTGCCAATGAGCAGTTAGAGGGGTGTGCGAGGTTTTGGAGGGAAAGAAATTCAGTTTCATCCCAGAGATGGTCTTTAAGTGCACATATATGCTTATGAGAAGATTTTTGTTGAAATGAATAGTCTGGTGACAGGGTCTCTGGAAACTTATGTATGTTTCACACATGTATAAGTATGTGAGCACTATATCATTTGGCCACTGAATTACCTTACATGTATGCTATCTATGCATTCAACACTTACATTCTCTAAAATATTCAATTTAATTGGTAAAAAAAATAAAATAATGTAAAGTATTGCACCCATGGCAGTGCATCTAACATGTGGCTCTGCTAATTATTCACGTAATTTCTTGTAATAACTGTTTATTTTAACAACATGGTAACTGTTTCCATTACTTGCTCCATTTATTTACTGTTTCAAATTTAACTGTGCATACGAATACCAGGGAACCCTTTGATGAGCGTTTAGACCAGGAGTAAACAAGTGGTGTTTGATACCATTTTAAGCAGGGACGTGCGGTCAGGGTTGACAGGTGAAGTAGAGCCTCACCTAGTATTATGGAGGAAAAAGCTGTCAGCTTCAAGTCTGAAGCTGACAGCTTTTTCTCCATTCATATCGGCTTCTAGCAGGTTACACAGTAGGGAAAGCCTTTCCCGCTGTGTAACCTGTCATGGCAGCGCTGCATCCAGCTTTTGACAGGTAGTAAGGTTCCACAACAGCGGGCTTCCCCACTGCTTGTGTAACCTAACAAATCTTTGATAGAGGAGTGAGCTCTGTGGATGGCATGGATCAATGGCAAAGCGCCATTTTCCAAGGGCCACTTGGTTGTGCAATTCCCCAGGCGAAAGGTTTGCAGTCCTCCCCTAGTTCTGGCCTTCCTGGTAGTAGCAGTGTTCACTTTAGAAACTCTTACACACAGTATCCATGCTACATAACCTATAGAATATGAATGAAACAATATATACATAAATATATATATAGATATATAGATAGATAGATATATCTATCTATCTATATATCTATATACATTTAAAAAAAAACTAGGTTAATTAGGGAAAAACATATAAATATTTAGGAGAATGGTATCTTAAACAGTTGGTATCTGGAATTCAATATTTTAAATATTCTACCATATGGCTTAGTGAAAATAAATTTTAAAGGGACCAAATAAAGATGTTTATGCTCACAAGAAAGAGTTATAAAGGATTTCTAAAGACTTGAGCCTTTATCAGACCATAGTCTGGAAGGTATTTTACAATTTAAATTCAAGGAGTAAATGTTCTACAAACATCATTTTGAAAGCTACGTATAGACAGCTACCCACAGTTCTCCATTACTGCCCCCACCACTCCTGTCAGACCTTAGATATAGAGACAGCACGGAATTGATAAAAGCACTCCTATGCTCTGCCTCAGCTCTCACAAGGGATAGCTTACAAGGACTTCCCTCACTCTGTCAGGTGCCGCTGTGTCTGAAAGACATTTAACACAAAAATGTGTTTTGTTTTTCGGATTATGTGGATTTCACTTCCTCCCTAATTTTCAATTCAGAAAGATCAACAACAGAAAGTCTTATGAACATGCCTGTAATGCAACCCCCAACAGCCCCCCAAAAAATCTGGTTGGCCAGAGAACAGTCACACATGGATTTAGTTTCGTTTTTAATGAAATTTGGACGGATTCAAATTTTCGTTAAAGGAACATTCAGATTAGTTCACAATTGCACGCATTCAAATTTGGAATTTCGGATGCATCCGAATGTCCGAATTTAACGAATTCCATACAAATATCCATTTAGAACGAAACTAAAATTACATGTCTACTGTATAATGTATTGATGGGATTTGTAGTCCTTTATAGCCAACGGCATTTTTCTGCATTCCTCCATCAACATTGAACAGTGTGGGTGAGGAAAACTCCCCTGCCGGCTAAATGTTTGTTTGACAATTTTTTTCCCCAGCTCTTTCGACAAAAAAAAAAAATACTTTTGTCAAATGGAAAGGTGATGGGAGGGCCACACAAAGCTTGAATTTCTTGCATTTAACTTTAATTATGTTCGTATTTTCTTAAATTACATCATATCTACTTGGGAGGTAAGGGGTAGGTGGGCACAATACCTGTCATGGGGGTGATTTGAATACTTTTTTATTTTTTGGCAGGCGGGAGGGAATAAAAAGGGCAGGACCTACAACCTATGCTTCTAAAATAATTCACAGCTCATAGAACTTGGAGAGGGATGCACTTTGACCTTTTTGCCCTGAGTGCAGGCTTTTACTACCAACTGCCCAGCTCCCCATGCCCTTGCCCAAGCCTATTAACATTAAAGATTGCGGGGCGTGGCTTACGCATGGCGCTGGACGGTCGCACTTAAGCAGAGCTCCCACCTCAGCCCGCAAAAAACTGCCGTAATAAGACTAACTTTTCACCTGACTTGCTATCCATCTGACCTCAAACATGGGAAGCAGAAGCCAACGCTCCTCCGGCTCGAAAAAGGCGGCCTCCGGTACCTTAAAACGGTACTTAATCGCGGACACGAGATCTTCTCAGGCCCCCTCGCGGCCTACCACGCGGCAGGCGCCTGCAGATCAATCCGAGGCCCTTACTCTCCCGGCCACGCCACAGTCCCCGGGCTCTCCGGGCTCCTCCAGCGATTTGGAAGCCTCTTCCCCGGCTACGCTACAGGCAGATCTGCAGGTGCCAGATGCCATGAGAGACCTTCTAACGAAGGCGGACCTGGCTCACATGTTCCAGGTCCTGGAGACTTCGCTCAAGCAAGATCTGTCCAGCATGACAGCGGATCTCTCACATATCCTTACCAGGGTGGAGGAAACGGAGTCCCGGCTGGATGATCATGACAGAGCTATTCGAGACCTGCATGAAGCTCACAGGCAGTTGGCCGTGGGACACCGAAATCTCCTCTATAAGGTGGAGGACCAGGAGAACCGCACCCGGCGGAATAATCTGCGGATTCAGGGGCCTGCTACGGCCGACGCGGATCTCATAGCCTCCCTGCAAGGTATATTTAACACTATCCTGGGGAGAGCGGTCACTACGCCCATACGATTTGACAGGGCTCACAGAGCACTGTGCCCACGTAATCTGGCTGATACGGCCCTCGGGATGTTATATGCAGATTCCACAACTATGGGGATAAGGAAGAAGTGTCCCGCAAGCTAAGGGGGATGTCGGCCATTGACTTTGATGGTGCTCAGCTTCACATATACCCAGACCTGGCCCGTGAAACCCTAGAACGCAGACGAGCCCTCCGCCCTCTATTGGACCAACTGCGGAAAGACGAGATCATCTACAGATGGAGCTTTCCAGCTAGCCTGATCGCCCGGAAAGGTGGCAGATCGGCTACTTTGCGCTTCCCGGAGGAGCTGGTATCCTTCTGCTCCGAGCTCAACATCCCGGTACACGAGTTACCCGGCTGGGTCTGCGAAGTACCGGGCCCCTCATGTGACAAGACAGCAACTTGGCGCACGCCTCCCCAGAAATGGCGCTCGGGAAGACCAGAGGCATCCGCGGGACATGGGTGAGACGGCACAATGTCCTCATGTTTTTTCTTTACTGTTTCCTGATATACAGTACGACACCACTGGATCAGTGGTGGTCATTTAGAGAGCCAGCTCAGTGATTCATCTGTGCATTCCCTCAGATATTACCCAAATCTGGGTTTCGGATCGCCTTTCGACTTTTTGTTTTTCCTGTTTTTGCACTTTTTTTGTGTTTTGAGGTTTTTTGTTTCTGTTGCATCTCTTACGGCATAAGTTTACCATTTACTAGTGATGCTTGTTGCATCAAAGGTTTTTGTTTGCGGCATATCGGGCTGTGGGCTACAGCCTGCTCCACGTGCACTAAAGTGGACACACATAAGGAATGGGACCTGCACGGCAGGATTTGTGTGCCTGCCCAGCGGGTACAAGTTAGTAACGGCTATCCCATCGGCTGTTACCGAATTGTTATTACTGTTGTTTAAATGTTCTTCTTGTCTCCCTGTATGTCTATGTCCCCCTCCTACCCACCCTCCCCATCACCTTTCCTATGAATGTACTTCTGATAGATGTAGGAATATCGCTGTATTTCACATTGTGCTGTGCCCTGAGGGTACTCC